GCCATAGGGCCCTGGGAGGAGGGACGCACAGGTGGTCCGTCTGTCTGTCTGCTCACTTACCGTGAGGCCGGCTGCGGCCTTCTGGGAGGCAGGAGGCATCAGAATGAAGCTGGGCCGACTAAGGAGGTGTGTTTCCCATGGTCACAGGTGTGGCTGGAGGGAGGGCAGGCCTCCCAGGGCTGCACCCACTGGGGGACAGTGGGGGTGGGGGTGCACAGCACTGGGGGACAGTGGGGTGGGGGGTGCTGCTCTGGGACACGGACAGATGGACAGCGTGCCCGGCAGGAGACAGGGTGATGATGGGGTCTGGGCTCTATGGACTGACTGCCGTGGCCAAACTGTCCCCAGATGGATGGTGAAGGAAGAGACATCCAGACCAGGACCTCGGCACCCATGGGGCTGGGTCGCACTGGAAGAGGGGTGTGGGCAAGGCCGGGGCCGCAACCGAGGCTGTGTGGAGGATGGTCACCGGCCCATGGGTGCACCAAGGTGGGCACCCAGCGGACAGCCAGAGCCCAGCTTTGGCATTCAGTAAAGCTCAGGGACGTGCAGATGTGACTGGGGTGGGTGTGACTTAAACCAGGTCCCAGAGGCCAGGGCTTTCATCCCATGAAACACCCCTTCTTTCTCCACAGTCCCCTTTCATCAGAGTCAAGGATTTCACTCTGGATAACTGCCTCCTCAAGCTGGCAGCCCTGCAAAGGGTTGACATGCTCAGCTGCTCACGGAGAGGGTGGGGGTTCAAGGACCCCCGGGGCACCCCAGGAGACAGGCCTGGCAACCCCCTTTGGAAAGCCAGCCACCTGATCTCACAGGGCGCCCAGCTCTCCTCTGACCACACGGGGGCGCCACCAGCCGCCTGATCCCACAGGGAGCCCGACTCTGACCATGCGGGGGTGCCACATGTTGGGGTTGACAGCAGCGGGACTGGTACTAGAAAGTGGGGTCACTGTATTTTCCCAAAGGAAATCTCAACCCCGTTAGGAGACAGCATGCAGGGTCACTGTGTCGGCCGCAGGCGCTGAGGGTCTGTTCTGGGGCTGCAAGGGGTCTCTGCCGACCCTGCTTCAGCCATTAGGAGGCCGACAGGGGGCCCCTCTCGAACTCTTGGCCCTGACTAACACTTGGTCCAGAGCAAACGCCGGGATCCTTTCGACAGAAGCAGAAGCGTCACTTTGAGCCTCGCGTGTTGCTGTCAGTTGATTTCTTAGAGCTGCTGAGCTGTGGTCGGGTCGACCCCGACTCACGACTCCACTGTGTGGACAGGGCTGCTCCATGCGGTATTCCCGGCGGACCTTCCAGAAGCACGTAGCCAGGCCTGTCTTCCGAGAAGCCACTGGGGGGCGTGAACCACCCACCTTCGGGTTAGTCGGCGAGCGCTCAGTCATTTCCTTGCCCTCCCGGGATGCCTTTGCATCTGAGTGATTTGAACTTGGCATGTAGGTGGGGGCTCTAGCCATCGGCGTCACACTGTGTGCTGTGTCCTCCAGAACCTAGGGCGGCCAGCTCCCCGGCCTGGAGGACGGTGTCCCAGCACACAGTCCTGCAAGGCAGCGGGAGGAGGGGAGGCCGCGGCGGGCTCACAGCGCCCCCCTGAGCCTGCGGGAGGACTGGCAGCCCCGGAGGGTCACTGGCCGGCATGGTGGTGCCGACCCAGAAAACGTGGAGGAATGTGCCCCCCTGGCCAGCGTGGCCTCTGTCTCGCTCCCCACGGGCTGCCCCCACCAGGCGGTACCTGGACAGGTCCGCCGAGACACTCCTGGACCCACCACCACGTCCTCTGGACAGCTGCGTCAGAGGTTTCTGAGTACTGCCCGCCCCCCAGTCCCTCCGCTCGGCGGACATGAGTTTAGGGCCAGTCTGTTTACAGAGTAGACGTCCCAGCCCACGCCCTGCCCTGTGGCCTGGAGTAGCCATACAGGCAGTAGCATAGGGTGGCTCTAGAACCTTCCGCCATCCCCTGCTAGGAACCTGATGAGGACTGCTGTGGTAGGAGGGACACCAGGTGGGGCCTGCGGGCACATGGACATCAGGAGAGGATGACACAGCCAAGCCAGAAGTCGAGGCTGGAGGGCCCAGTGAGGAGCCTCGGGGTCAGGGGTCAGGGTCAGCGGCCCAGTGGGGAGCCTTGGGGTCGGTTTCCAGCCACACTGGGCACCTGCATCCCCAGAGGGCCTTCCCTGACCCTGTGTCCACTTGGGGAATGGCTTTCAGCTGATGATGCTTATGGGGCCAGACCACCTCCTGAGGGCCTTGTATCCGTGGGACACAGATGCCACTACTGAGGGCATCCTGGGACATGCTGGCCGTCCTGGTGGTCAGGCCAGGCTGTGACCTGACACCAAGCCTGCCACCCTTGTCACATCTCACGCTTACCCTCAAGGGGACGTCTGGGCTTTGGAGTGTCTTGGTAAAGGCGTTGTTGGGCATTGCTGCGCGGTTGGGGTGTGGGCGGGGCATTGCTGCGCGGTTGGGGTGTGGGCGGGGCATTGTCGCATGGCCAAGGCCTCGTCAGGCCATTGCCAGGGCATCATGGGGATGCTGTGGAGGCATCTTTGGGGTGTTGAGACCTCTGTCACAGATTTTGGAGGAGCGGGGAGGCTCCCTCGCCCACCGGGGCCTGTGGAGCTGCTGGTTGAGTGGGAGGGCAGGCGTCTGGCCGCTGGCCTCTCCGTCTGCTTTCTCAGCAACACCACGTCCTCATGCACCAGCAAGTGTTGTCCGAGTCACAGGGCTCCCTCAATAAAAGGCCCATGGACTGAGGAGGGGATGCCGGGTGGTCACCTCTGCGGTGCAGACAGGTGATGCAGAGACAGGTGCCCGTCGTTCTGCTTCCTGAGGCCCCTACGTGCCGTGGGAGAAACAGAGGGGCTGGTGGCCTGGCCCCACGCCGACCCTGGAGCCCCCGCCCCACCCAGCTGCTCACAGCACTCACAGGCAGCCTTTTCCCAGGAGCTGCCCCCCGGGGACCCAAAGGATGAGCCCTTCTTCGAGGACCAGGGCCTCCTGGAGGGTGAGTATGCCACGAGACCTCAGCCACCCCGCACCCGGAGGGAAATGCCAGAGAACCTTCTAGAAGGGGCCGCTCGAGTGCTCCGTGTGCTTCAGCTGCTGGGACCAAACAGACGAGCCCTTGGTGACAGCAGCTCCTGGGGTGGCGGCTTGCGGGGGTGGCAACCGCCAGGTCAGATGTGCCTTAGCCTTACAACCCACAAACCACATGCCTGCAACATGCTAACAACATGCCTGGGAGCACACTTCACTCAGACGACGTCCTCAGAAGCGTGCCCCCTCCTCTCGGGGGGTGGGTCCCTCTTCTCTTGAGAACAGTGCGGTGGGGTACTCAGCTGACCTGTTAGGTGGGTGTGGGCTGTGTAGGTTCTGGGGCTGGTGTTGAGGTTGTCACCAAACTCCCAGCGGCTTCCCTGAGCCAGGCTTGGAGGCCCATGGGCACCCCACACACGCCTTGCCAAACCTGAGGGACAGTGTGTCCATCAGTAGTTGTCACCAGCTTGGTGGGCAGAGGCAGGACACCAGCCCTGGGGTGGTGACCCAGTCAGGGCTGCTGGGCCTACGGAAGCCCTTCACTGGCTGACGGAGGGTGAGAGGCCGGCCAGGCCTGGGCACTGTCACCCCCACCTGCCCCATCCCCCCACCTGGATCCCTGCACCATCTGCCATCGCCCACAGCTGGCAGGCAGGAACCAGACCCTCCTCACCCCTCTCCCCATAGTGGCACTGCCCCCTGAGAAGGCGGAGGGCCGTGAGGGGCCCGGACAGCTCTGCGGTGCCGAGGACGGGGCCAGAGCAGCCGGCCGTGACGGCCCCTGCGGGCCTGGCAGGAAACGCCTGCACATTGACGTGGGTCTCTCTTTCCTTCTCCCTCACTGGGGTCACGGGGCACGGGGCGTCACAGTGGAGGTGGGGAGTGGTCACAGGCATGCCAGCCAGGACACCTCCCTGGAGCACAGCCAGGCGGGGCCTCATGATGGGAGGTCAGTCTGCTCCAGGCAGCGGCCTCTCCCTCAGGGAGGCCATGGATTTGCTGAAACGGGCCTGCATGGCCTTGAAACAGTTCAGGGGGCTCTCCCTGTGTTGGGGAGGGGCCCTGGCTCTGCCTGCACCTCTCCCCTCCCACGGGCGCAGGAGCTGCAGTGCGATGTCTCGGTGGAGGAGGACAACCAGCAGGAATGGACGTTCACGCTCTATGACTTTGACAACAGCGGGAAGGTCACCCGAGAGGTACCACGACCGGGCTGATGCTGGGCAGCCGCACGTGTCCACGTCGAGAGTGTGGGTGGGGCCAAGCTGGGTCTAGTGGACAGACAGACAGGCAGACATTGGTAACCAGGCCAGTGAGAGACCTCCCTGCAGATGGACCGCCCACCTGGGGCCCCATGGCGCCCGCCGTCTGTGCCCTTGACTCCTGGAGGTGCCCTCTGCACTCCAGCAGCCAAGCACAAGGGCCTCACGGGGCCCCCCGAGTCCCCACACCACCTGTGTACCCAGGATGGCCACATGGGGCCGTGCTGAGTGGACCACGTGTCGGGTCAGAACTGCTCTGGCAGCGTGACGGATCGGCCAGCCCGTCTGCCGAAGGTTCTGCTTGGAACGTGAGAGGCCACAGGGAAGTGGTCCCAGCAAGGCCATTTTCAGGCCGCCTGCTGCCGACCTGGGGTTAGATTCGGGGGTGAGACAAGGGCTGCCCAGATAAAACATGGTGGGGTCCAGATGAGTGACAAGGAAATTGGCCACCAGCTGGGGGACGAGTAGGCAGGTGGACAGGTGGGTGGGTGGCCAGCCAGTGACCAGGCACACAGGTGGGTGAGTGGGTGGCCTGGTGAGCTGGCAAACTGGAGGCGGGCAGGTGGACCAGCAGGCAGCCAGCATGCATGGCTGTCCAGGCAGCATGGGCACCCTAGCCCAGCCTGTGCTGGTGGTGCCCATCCTGCCCATCCTAGGACATGTCCAGCCTGATGCACACCATATATGAGGTCGTGGACACCTCGGTCAACCACTCCTCTGGCAGCAGTAAGACCCTCCGTGTGAAGCTGACCGTCAGCCCAGAGCCCTCTGACAAGAGGAAGGAGGGCCTGGTCTCTGGCCAGGGTGAGCAGGGTGGAGCCATGCAGGCCCCCACAGGCTTTCAGGCAACCCGACCCCCGCACCCACACAGCATCACCCCCAGGAGGCTGGCCCTAGTGACACCTCCCCCTCTGCCTCCTGTGCTCTGCAGTCACAAGTTCATTGTGTACTGAGGTGTCCCCACAGGGATGACACCCAGTGGCACCCACAGTGAGTGGTGAGAGAGCAAATGAGTTAGTGAGAGAGAGAGTGAGTGACTGAGTGAGACAGAGTGTGAGAGAGAGTGAGATAGCGACAGGGTGAGAGAAAGAGAGAATGAGTGAGTGTGGGAGACAGAGAGTGGTCCCCGCACAGGCTGGCACCGAAGTCAAGTGCTGAGTAAGTGAATGAGTTACTGACAGAGTGAGTAAGGGGAGAGATGGAGTGAAAGAGTAAATGAATGGTGGGTGAATCAGTGATGTTCGGGGTGGACCAGTGAGTGAATGGTGGGTGAATCAGTGATGCGTGGAGTGGATGAATGAATGAATGGTGGGTGAATCAGTGATGCCTGAGGTGGACGAGTAAATGAATGGTGGGTGAATCAGTGATGCGTGGGGTGGACGAGTGAGTGAATGAATCAGTGATGCCTGAGGTGGATGAGTAAATGAATGGTGGGTGAATCAGTGATGCGTGGGGTGGACGAGTGAGTGAATGGTGGGTGAAGCAGTGACGCGTGGGGTGGACAAGTGAGTGAATGGTGGGTGAATCAGTGATGCGTGGGTGGGGTGGGTGAGTGAATGGTGGGTGAATCAGTGATGTGTGGAGTGGAAGAGTGAGTGAATGGTGGGTGGATCAGTGATGTGTGGAGTGGATGAATGAATGAATGGTGGGTGAATCAGTGATGCGTGGGGTGGACGAGTGAGTGAATGGTGGGTGAATCAGTGATGTTCGGGGTGGACGAGTGAATGAATGGTGGGTGAATCAGTGATGCATGGAGTGGATGAGTGAATGGTGGGTGAATCAGTGATGCGTGGAGTGGACGAGTGAGTGAATGGTGGGTGAATCAGTGATGCGCGAGGTGGACGGGTGAGTGAATGGTGGGTGAATCAGTGATGTTCAGGGTGGACGAGTGACTGAATGGTGGGTGGATCAGTGATGCGTGGGGTGGACGAGTGAGTGAATGGTGGGTGAATCAGTGATGTTCAGGGTGGACGAGTGAATGAATGGTGGGTGAATCAGTGATACATGGAGTGGATGAGTGAATGGTGGGTGGATCAGTGATGCGTGGGGTGGACGAGTGAGTGAATGGTAGGTGAATCAGTGATGCGTGTCTTGGATGAATGCATGAATGCTTAGGTGAATTAGTGATGAATTCGTACTGAGGGACTGACCGGCCCCCAGATCGGGAGCCCGGACACTTCAGGACGGAGAGTGAGCTTGAGGATTCACGGACAGCTGGCAGGAGGCTCTCAGCACATGTCAGGTGAGTGTGGGGGGCCGCCCACCAGCGGTCTCAGATCTGCAAGGAGGGGGTGGGCAGGGTCAACTCCTCTCTGCGACAGGGCTGAGTGAGTGTGAGATGGACCAGCGAGGACCTACCCTGTGACACACTCCATCAACACTCAGGGACCGTGATCCTGGGTCCCCTATAGGGTCATCACTCTGACCCACGTGGCCCGTGGCCTCACTGAGGTCAGCTGGCCCGTGAGGCCGCACTGGCCCTCTCCCTCCCTTCCTCTCCAGCCCTGCCCCTGCCCGTGTGCTGGGCTCGCGGGAGAGCTCAGGCCCGTGTGTCCTCCAAGCAGGAGGCTGGTGGCCGATGCCGCCCTCTGCCCTGTGCGAGGGCCCTACTGTGTGGACGAGAACACGGAACGTAGGAACCACTACTTGGACCTGGCAGGCATTGAGAACTACACCTCCAAGTTTGGGCCTGGTAGGTGCTGGGCCACAGCGACCGGCTCCACGCTGCAAAAAGTCACCCAGCCCCACATGCCAGGGTGGTCCTGGGCGGGGGGGGCGCGTGTACACGGCTGGTGGGGCGGAAGCAGTGGGCAGTCGGCGTCTTAGGGAGGAGCTACCGGCTCCTTTGTAAAGGGGCCCCTAGGCTGCTATCAGGAACACTCCTCCTCCCTGCTGCTCTGCGCCCGGGCCGTGGGCCTGCTGCACGAGCCCAGGGCCAGAGCCCCGTCCACATGCCACTCCCTGCGCCACGGCCCCTCCCCGAGGGCCTGAGCAGTTTGAGGACTTTAAAGTCTCTGTTCAGCCTCCTTAGGGCATCTTGACCAAGGAGGCCCAGCAAACAGCACTGGTGGCAAAGCTGTGAACGACCCTGCAGGGCAGGGGCTGTGTCCGTGCACCACCAGGGACTGTCCACAAATACACACACACACTCTCCCCCGCAGAGCAGGCCCAGGTCAGGGCACAGGGGCCTTGTCCACACACACACACACACACACACACACACACACTGCCCCCCTGTAGACCAGGCCCAGGTCAGGGAACCAGGCATCGTGTCCACAAACACACACTGCCCCCTTGCAGATCAGACCCAGGTCAGGGAACCAGGCACGTGTCCACAAACACACACACACACACCACCCCTCTGCAGACCCGGCCCAGATCAGGGCATGGGGGCTATGTCTGTACCCCCGTGCCCTGCAGCCTGAAGTGTGTTCCAGGGGTGAACTTCATGGAAGCCCCTCTCATGGGCCCACAGGTGGGAGCCCTGGGGTTGGGGCTCTCTGAGTTGCCTGGTGGCCCACAGGCCAGAGACCTCTCGGCAGGCTGAGGCCACTGCAAGAAGGCAGGGTGGGTGGCCAAGGGTCCCTTCTGGCTGCAGAGATGGCCGTGCAAGGCTGGCCTCTGCTGGGGTCCTCTTGCAGTCACACAGGAGGCAGGTCAGACCCCATGTCAAATCTCAGTCTAGTGGAGGGGCAGGAGGGCCCTCATAGTGTGGCCTGGACCCAGCGCGGTGCCCATGGCCTCATGCCTGTGTCTGCTGTTTGTAGGCTCCCCACCAGTGCAGCCCAAGCAGGAGCACCCCAGCAAGGGCTCACACCCTCAGGCGCGGTCTCACTCACAGGACTCAGACGCACAC